CAGTCGTAGTCGCAGCGGCAACCGGAGCAGCCGCAATGAAAGCTGACAAAATGCCGCTTGACCTACAATTTGTCAAGAGAGGAGGCGGACAGCCGTGAGCATAAAGACGCCCATGTGCTGCACGTGTGATTGGGTCAACTCAGGTGGCGCCCTCAGCGGAAGCGTATCAAGTGCATGTCACACACGCACACTCACACACACACACACACACACAGGGGGCGAGGCAAAAACTATGCCAAATGCTTTGGTTAATTAGAAATCAATTGAAACGCATATATCGTATAAGTAACTAGCTAGCAACAACAACAATCTGACGACCCAAATAAGTTTCCCATTGCCTCAACCCGCGGCGCCTGCGTCTTCAACATTGTTAACGTTGTCGCTGCCACTGCCGCTGCTGTTGCCGCTGCTGCTGCCACCGTTGGGTGGCATGCAAACCAAACTGAATGCAATGCAACGAGAGAACCAGTTTCTCTGCACAGCACAGAACCCGCCACATCATCTCTCTCTCTCTCTCTCTCTCTCTCTCTCTCTCTCTCTCTCTCTCTCTCTCTCTACACACTCCTTCACCTCTCGATCGACTCCTCCCCAGTTTTATCGTTCATTTGGTGTGTCAACTTGGCTATCTTAAAAATGCTTAATTGCTCGACTTGCATAAAAAAAAAAAACAACAACATACGAAAGAAGAGTAAGAAAATAAAATCAAAAACTAATCGATAGCCCCAAGCAGAGGCGGATCGAAGTACTCGGAGAGCGACAGCAAACACACTGAGCAACAGCCTTATCGTGGCCACGTTCCCCCAGCTGCTACAGGTGCAAGATCACACCTTCCACACAATCGCCCAGTTGTCATCGCGCAGACAATTAACAATCTGTAATAATGTCAACTGATTGGACGGGCGCAATAAGTTTTAATTCTGTAGACGACAGAGAAGTCATTTAAGGTGCTTTCAATCAGGATCTATCGAATCACATTGCAAATCACTTTTTTTGGAATTGATTTGCCCTGTAACCAATGGGATTTCATGGTTGTATGAAGTTGAGGGACGTGGCCAATCGTAAGCTGTGCATAAACTTTCAAGCAGACTGTGTTGATCTAGACCGACCATCCATTCATGTACTCCGCCTTTCCATTATTCTACAGTACGCCAATGCCTCTTTTCCTGCGCCTTTTCCTACGCCAATTCCTGCTCTCGTCCGTTAGGGTATGAATTCCTTCGTCCGATCATCCCACCATTCGCCTGTCTGTCGATTTATAAGCATATTCGCCCGTGTATCCCAGCCTACGCCCGTATTGACGGGCCGTATAGACGTCCGCTCATCCCACATTTCGTGCGTCCGTCAATATATATGTTCATCTCTCCTTCATTCAATCTATCAATCCGTCCATCTGTCAGTCCGCCCAATTACCTCTCCTTATATGCGTCCACCCATACCACCTTTCGCCATCTGTTCGCCAATGTATCTGATCCTCCATCCGTCTGTCATTCCATCCATCTATTAGTTCATCCGTCCGTGCGTTCCCTCTTACGTCCGTCCCATCTCATCTTTCGTCCCTTCGTCCAATCTATCTGCCCCCCTATACTACCTCCCACCTCGATCTCGAAATGCACAACATATACATGTAAAATATGAAATTTATAGCGAATTTGATAGCACAAGTATTCATCTGAGCCTCGTTTGTTTTCCTTGTGCCTGCACCTTACATAATAATAATAAAATAACAATTGCAAAAATAACAGCATTATGAATATGAATATAAATAACATAACGAATCGTTTGACTATCGTATTGCAAGTAGAATGCGAGCAATTTCTTTGTTATTGAATTGTCGCAAGTGACACGGACACCCACACCGACACACGCACACACACACACACACGCAGGCAAACAGCCAAGCAGGCAGCCCCAACTGCCCCACTCATTTACCTTATGTACCTTCTCATCGGGCTCGCGTCATGCCACATTTTAGTATAGTTCAAGTTCCAGTCGAGGTGCTTGCCACCCAATGCACAATTTGCATGCATGTCACGTTCTTGGGCTTTGAGTTAGACATTGTCACCTGCCTGCCTGCCTGCCTGCCTGCCTACCTGCCTACCTGTCTGTCCGCCCCCCTGTCACGCACACACCTTGCGCTGCCTTCTCATAATGCATAAAAGACTAAAATCAATTAACAAGCAAAGTCGATTTCAATCTTTTGTCAGTGTGTGTTTGTTTGTGTGTGTGTGTGTGTGTGTGTGTGTGTGTGTGTGTGTGTGTGTGTGTGTGTGTGTGTCTGGCTCTCCAGATCTTCATGGATTACCTAAATCCATTGAAAAGATGCAAGTTGCAAGTGGAGCCTGCTGCCACACCACTGCGGTGTTGCATGCAACGCGTGTGTCAGGCTGCGGAGGGCGGCTCTGATATTGTTAAGTTGTCAAATTGGGCATGGGCGCAACGCACAGACAAAGTTACAATTACATTTTGCGCTTCATCCTGATAAAAACGTTGGCGGCGCTGCTAAACGTGCTGCTTTGTCTGAATTTGCAATGCGTGCTGCAACAACAACAGCAACAACAACGGCGGCAGCGGCAGCAGCAGCAGCAGCAGCAGCGGCAGCACCACCAACAACAAGAATGCGGTCACAGTTCATTGAACCGCTAGAAATGCAATGCAAGTAGCTCATAATGATGCTGCAGCCAGATGATTATGATGTTAATGACGTGCCACAGATGCAGATGCACACGATAATGAAGATGCTGACGATGATGATGACGATGTAGACGATGATGGAGTTTCAGTGGCAACTGGCACTTTAGCGCGTCAGTTAGATGAAAAAAAAAAAAAAAACACCTCCAGCGGCTCAAGTATCGAAGCAGAGAGAACACAACGATTTGACAATGGAAGCAAAAAGAGTTGTCAGAGGTGCATATATAATGTATATAAATATATATGCCCATACATATGCATGCATATGTGTGTGTGTGTGTGTGTGTGGCACTTGAACGACAAAATTCAATGCCAAAAGGGTAATATTATGCGATATGCATGTCTATATGCAAATCACACATGTGCTACGAATGCCTGGGAAAGGTCAGACTACAGAGAAGATTCGCTAATAAACAACCATTCTACATAAAACATCATTTATGGTTATTGAAAAAAATAATTTCGATAGGTTTCAAAATTTAGTACAAATCTAGTCTCTTTCAAGTCTTTAAACTAGATACAGTATGGACTCTACTAACGGACAGCTTCGTGACTGCATCTATTTTCCATTCAAATTTTGGAAACCCAGTTTAAAATGCGCACATTAATGATATCATTTTCGTAAATCATTTGAGTGTTTTCCACTCTCAGTAAATCCATTCAAAAATGAAAAGCGCAAAGAAACATTTGCATAATTAACATTCGAAATAGATTAACAAAAAGATATATATATTTGAATACTCCTAGACTTTGATTAAATGATAAACCAAAACTTTTACACTCGTATTGTATAAGAAATAGTTAATCTAAGCCTAACTTCTCTAACAAAAGTGTAAAGTGCGTTTAAATAATAATCTCATTATAATTTTAGTCACCAAGTATAAGTAGGGTCTATTAAATCCCTGTCTGACTTCTGCAGTATACGCTAAAGATATATACAAATAAAAGCTTATACAGCATAAACTAAAGATATGTACAAATAAAAACTCTATACTGCATAGGCTAAAGATATATACACATATGTATATTGTATAATTAAGAGTTACTCCATACCTGTCTTATACATACAGCATAAACTCAGTTTGTATTGAAACCAATTACAAATATTCTTCCATCAAATTATCTTATAACTTAAACTCTTTCAGATGCCACACATATTTTTATCTTCAGCCAGATTCCAACTTCCTCTTTTCGCCCTCAAATTGAGTTGAGAAATGCTCGAATGAATTACTAAAAAATAAAACGAGCAAAAAATCGCAGCAAAACCAGCCGGCAAAAGGCAAAGGAGAAAAGATAACAAAAACAAAAAACGGAAAACCAAAAATCTCGCGTCTCAGCCGATTCCCACTTGCAACTTCGACTTCCCATCCAAGCAGCTGCTGCTTGTGCTTCTTTCCAGGCTTCCGGCACCCTTTGATCTATTTTGGGCTGCCGAGTCGCCCCAGCGAAGGGAAGCCAATGGAGCCCGTATGCGAAACTTCAAAAAATTAATAATAAACAAAGTCATCCATGAACTAAAAACACAATAAGAATCAGTTCTATAAATGTAAGAGGTTACGTTAGCTTGATTACTCACACTTTTATATATAACCAACTAAATGAGAAATCTATATGAATAAGTCTGATGTAAAAAGGATTTGACTGCTGTTTGTTTTTTTTTTTTTTTAATTTTTATATATTTTTGAAATATATATCGAACAAAGCTTTTTATTCATTTCAATGTGCACATGAAGTATAAGAGCACATTGATCGAAAAAGGATAATCAATGATAAAAATATATATTGTGTGCTATAGACATATCTAGACACATATTTAAAGGCGGACATAGATGAATAAAATAGGATCAGATAAACATATTTTGTGGGTTGCAATTAAAGACATCGCATACGTATAAGAGTAAGAGGAATCATCAACAGTAAATAATGTATGTACATGTACATATATGATGTATGTTTTGCAACATTACAAGTGTTTATGTATGTATTTGTAAAGGCAGTCGTATAAGAGCCAAGGATAAACTCCCTTAAATACTCATAAACTATATTATATACATACTAGCAGACGGTTAAAGATCTTTCTTGTACGAGTGCAGAGCAAAGAGATCGCCCAGTAGAAAATGTTAATCCCTGTCAAACAAGCTCTTCACGTCTGTCCACAGCTCGCAGTGGAGGGGGGGAAGAGAAAGTGAATGGAGCGTGTGGCCAATAAGAATCTTAATGATAAGATGCTTATCAACAGCAACAAATAAGAAAATCACAATAAAACAACATCCGAAAAAAATAATAATACAAATAAAATATTAGAAACTTACCCAAAAGCAAACGAAGACGTTGCAACGTTGAAGTTGACGTTGTTTTTATTTTCAATAGATTTTGTTTTTTTTTTTTTTTTCTCTATATCCCTCTCTCGCTCACACACTCCCTCTCTCTTTCGCCGTTTTCGGCTTCTTGATGATGCAGCGCTGCAAGAGGAAATTACGTATAAGCTGGCGAGGAAGCAGAAGAGCGAGAGCCAAAGGAAGATGCATAGCAAGAGCAACAACAACAACAACAGCAACAACAATGCAGTACATGAATATTTATTCTAATTGAAAGTTTTTGGCTACCATTAAGCACCCACACCCACACACACACACGCATACATGCAGCAAGTGCTATGTGCATGTGTGTGTGTGTGTAAAAGGGGTTTGTTGCTGCAGCGGCAACGGGCGCTGCAAAAGTTGGCGCTTGCGTCACGTCAACAGCGCCGTCTGCAACATCAAATCGAATTTTCCAAAAAACAAAAAAAAAACCAATAAAATAAATAAAAAGCAAAAGAAGAAAATGAGAAACCGAAACAAAAACAAAGAAGAGCCACAAAAAAAACCGACACGGCCAAATAGAAGAAGCAGACCAAGAGGAAAACGAGTTAAGGCGCAGACAGCAAAAGACAATGCTGCTGCTGCTGCCATCGCGTCCCAGTCGACGCCGCAGTCGCCGTTGTCGTTGCCGTTGCTGTCGGCGTCGCTGTCGCCACAGTCTTTGCTGCCGTCACTTGCTGCAAGCAGCACAGATAAAAGCAGCCAAAGACAGCCAAAGCAAACGCAACAATAGCTGCCGCAGCGGCAGCCGCCACATTTTCTTGTTGCTGTTGTTGTTGTTGCTGTTACAATATTTTGAAAATATTATTTGTTTACGCGCGTCTTGTTAACAGAGAGAAAAAATCATCTAAAGTTTTGTTTGATTATGCCAGGCTTACGTTTCAATATTTTGACGCCTTTTAGTTGCGCCCGCGCATCTTCCAAAAACAAAAAACAAAAAAAAAAAAAAAAAAAAAAAAAACGGCCAACAACAAAAAAGCCAAGGAACACCACAAACTCTTTACACTAGACACCAGAACCGTAAAAAAAAGCTAATAACACTTTGCAATATGTGTGCCAACCACTTGCGCCGAGACTTTAGTTGCAAGCTGCTGCTGTTTAATAATTACTTTATGTTAATTATTTCTTGATTTTGTTAGCAGTTTAGTTCTTAAGTTAGGACAACAGTGCAGCAGCTGTTGAGCGACACGAATACCGCGCGCAACGAAAACAAAATGAAGACTAACAACTAACGATAGCAATGTGATTGCAAGCGCAACGCCCCAAAATACCAAAAAGCAACAATACAATAAAATACCGCACAAATATACCAAGTACATATGACGACTGAAAATGCGTATAAGCCCAACAAATCAATTCTGTAAATGAACGTCGTATTTATTTTCTGAAGCATATAAAATTGTTTAACATTAAATTGATTTCTAACTGTTAGTTTCAAACATGCAACAAATATATAAGGTCATACTGTCACACAGTGCTGCCAGACAAATTATATTTGTATACTAACAGAATGTATCTGAAGCTCACAATAGAGGGCGCCACAGCTTGCACTCGGTGGTTGTGAGCTATAAAATCAACGGGAAAAAGCGCTGCTACTGCTGCCCTCGCCGCTAATTTGTGAGAGTGAAACATTGAATGAAAACTAATATAAATAAACATATTGGGCACAGTATTACTATAGTGTCACGGGAGTGAACAAAAGTGTGACAAACAATAATAATTTCAATTCATTTGACATTTTTCAAGCTATTGCTTCTCGGCGAACTCAATGTGCATTGAGAGCTTTCGGCCATTCAGTCAGCTGGGACGCACTTTTTTTTCGTATTGTGTTTGCATTTGCCAAAAGCTGTGCTCGCTGTGTTGTCATCGTTATGTGTGTACGCATTGTTGTTGCCACAAAAGCTTTTTCAACTAATAACTGCTGCGCTTAATTTTCCACTTGGTGAATCGAATTGACACAGTTGCAATCAGAATCGAATTGAAAACAGCAAACGGCTGCACTTCATCCGCCATGATAGCCAAGTGACAAAGCTCGTTAATTTCTGAACCCCATTTGACTTGGTTAATTACGGTTCGATTTCAACGGGGACAGCTGCAATGTCAACGGAAAGCAATACGCCCGTGGATCCGCGTGTCCAGGTATTTGCCCTATATACATAGACTGCATCCCTCCATCCACTATTTCAATCGGCTAATTGGTTTACATTCCAGATTGAATTAGAAAAGCTCAACACAGCGACGGACAATATCAATAAATATGAAGTGGAGCTCGATGTGAGTTTTATTATTGATTTTTATTATTTTTTTTTTATGCATTACACATCGTTTCTTATTTACTTTATATAACATTCACTGTCTCCCGTGCAGGAGGCGAAGTGCGAATTTAAGCGTCTGCTGGCGGAGAGCGTGGTGCGGATCAAGGCCGCCGCCCACAAGCTGGGCAACTCGATAGACGCCGCCAAACCCTACTACGAGTCGCGCATCTATGCCGCCCAGTTGGCCAAGGAGACACAGCTGGCGGCGGCCAATCATGAGAAGGCCAAGTCCATACACGCTGCCGCCAAGGAAATGGTCTATCTGGCCGAGCAGGGTCTCGGCGAGAAGTCGACGCTGGACACCGCCTGCCAGGAGATGCTCAGCCATGCGGCCAGCAAGGTCAATCAATCCCAATTGGAGGTGACCGACACGCGCAACGCCCTCAAGATGTGCCAACTGAAGCTCGAGGTGGCCAACAATCGCGTAAACAAGCTCCAAGGGCAGCTCAAGCAAGCATTACGCTCCTCCAGGTATCTAATTGGACTCCAATTTGATTTCTTTTTTGATGCTCTGGCAGAGTGAATATTCAGTTTTAAATAGGGTTTTAAAGGGTCTTAACTGGTTTGAGAATTTTTTAATTTGCATTTATTAAAGTTTATCTTATTTTTAGATTTATTGACGAAATTTTTGAATAATATTATCTTTTATATTTTGAAAATTATTATGTTAATAATTATGAGTATAGCAGAACTTGAAAAGAAGTTTTTAATTTTTGACAATTTTGAAATGTGAATAATCTGAAAATATGGTACATGTATAATAATATTTATATTATATTTTAAAACTGCGAATATATATTATATTTTAATATTATAATATATTATATTATAATATTCATATTATATGAAATAAGCTTATCCCAGTTTTCAAATATGTGAAATATAAATATTACATATAGATATTCTAGATATTTCATCTACATATATTTATTGCAATATGATTTATTTCAAACATATATATAATGATATCTAGACATTTAATTTTAAAAATATTATAATATAGTATACATATGTAAGTACATATATATACATAGATATATGTATTCATAGAACAAACCCAGGTGCTCATTTTTGATCCAGGAGCTTTTCAAGATAATTTGTTACTTATGATAGTTACTATATATACATATGTATGTTTACAGAATAAGCCTATCTTATATATATATTGAATCCCTATATGATCATATTCTAATTCGATTTAGTTGCCACTCTGCCAGAACATCTTTGGTTTGATTTTTTTTTTTGTTTTTGTATTTTTAGTTTTTGGTTCTACTTTCGGTTCTATTTCGTTCTCTTCTTTTGGTTTCTTCTTGTTTCTTCCTCTTCTTCTTCATAGATTGCAGCTGCGGCGCAATTTACTTTTGTTGAGATACTTTAGCATTTTGCACGCTTTGTATTGTATCCAGTGCTCGTGAGTATGCGCTGCTCACCTGCCGCCAATGCCACGCCCACTAATCTAGCTGATAATCGCTCGTTAATGCAGGCCCTACTATGAGACGCGCGCGAACTACAACGGACTGCTGAAGGCGCAAAAGCTGCGCGTCAACGAGCTGGAGGCCAAGGTCAGCGCCGCCAAGTTGACCTACAACGAGGCCCTGAAGAATCTGGAGCAGATCTCCGAGGATATACACAGGCAGCGGCAGCAGCGCAACAATTTGCTTAACTACGAGGCAATGCTGCGCCAGGTGGATGCCATCGATTCCCACCAGCAGCAGACGCAGCAACAGCAGCAGCAGCAGCTCCAGTCAGAGTCGGAGCAGCTGCAGCTGGATGAGCCGGAGGAGGAGTACTTACGCATGCCCGATCGGCTGGGCAGCGGCGCCAGTTCGCCGCGCCAGAGGCACCCCGATCCGCACGACTGTCCGCATCTGCTGCACGACTTCGAGACGGTGTTGACCTTCCCACAGAAGCTGGCCGGCGGCATGCACAAGTCGGCCAGCACCAGCGCCACGGATGGCGACAATAATCTGTTCGCCCAGGCGCAGGGTCTGCACGGGCCGTACGAGGTGAAGCCGCGCTCGGAGTCGGGCAGCAGCTCGCTGGCCTCGGCCTCGGCTTCGGCATCGGCATCGACGTCGGCCCCGCCGGCGGACAACGACATCGATCAGTGGACGGAAATACGGCTCTCGCACTCGGACAGCACCAGTTCGAGCTATTCGAATCAGTCGCTGCTGGAGCAACAGGCTCTGGATGGCGCCGGCAGCCTGGGCGGCCACGGTTTGGGCTATGGCCTGGGCGGCCTGGATGCGGATGCACAGTCGCAGCACTCCACATCCTCGTCGGATGAGCCCAAGCGCAAAGTGACCTGCACGACGATATTCCAGGACGATAGCAGTGGCATCGGCCTGGCCGGCCAGCAGATGAGCCGCAAACAGAGCCTCAGCCAGTGGCTGTCGCGTTCGAATAGCTTCAAGAGCAGCGGACGACGGCAGAGTCTAGATCTGTTGATCGATGCCGGCGACAAGGTGAAGGATGTGTTTAGCTACGGTTTTCAGAAGGTCGGCCGTAGTCTGGAGCGGCGCAATAGTGAATCGGAAATGGCCAACGATGGCGGCGAGACGGATGCGCTGCTTGCAGCAACAGCAACAGCAGCGGCAGCCGGTGCAGCTACAACGACGACGACAGCGACGGCAGCGGCAGCGGCAGCGAATGCCTCAGCTGGCAGCAACAATAGCAGCGGCAGCAGCAGCGGCGGTGCCGGCGATTTCTTTTTGTTTAGCAGGTCAGTAGATGGCAGCGGACGCAGCGCCGCCGGCGTCAACGTCGGCGTTGGCAGCAGCCTACTCTGCACGCTGCAGAATCGCCTGACAAAGCTCATTTGATCAAATCGGACAAGAAATCAAACAGATCGATAAACGATAAACCGATTTACCGCCAAACTGCTATTCCAAATTCAAACTGCACTCACTCAAAAAATTAAAAAAAAAAAAAAAAAAAAAAAACTTTAAACAAAAAGAAAAACTCCCAAATGCTTCAACTACTGCAAGAACTAATAATAATCAGCTACTGCAATTAACTAAATTCCTAAATGCTCGATAACAAAAAGTAACGAATTGGCTGCTTTAATTTGGTATATTTGCTCTTTCAACACACATTCGATTACAACAACCACAAAAACAACAACAACTACTACAGTAATAACAACAATCAATCAATCAATCAACCAACAACAACAACAACAACAAATACTACTACTACTACTACAATAACAATCAACTAACCGCATTGCACGCACGCACGCTTCTCAAAAACAAAAACTAAAAACCAAAGTCAAAAATCTACTTTTAACAAATTTGTATGTACTGCAAATACTTTTTATTTGTGTGTGTGTGTGTGTGTGTATGTGAGTGAGTGTGTGAGTATGTGCATGCGTATGTATGGGAGTGTGTATATGAGAGTGTATGTATATCTGTGTGTATCAGTGTGTTTTGGCGTCATGAAATAACTTTTATTATTCTTAATTTGCAATTCATATTTTTGAATTGAACATAGCCAATTTAATTTTAATTTTTTAATTTCATTAAATTTAATAACAACATAAGTTGAAAGATTTATATTAAAGCTTAATTATGAATGTATAATTCATAAAAAGAAAATCATTAAACTAAAAAAAATTTTTGTTTTATTTATTTGTTTTAATTTTATTTATTTTTTAATATATTGAAATTGTATTATGAAATATACTTTTCAATTTCAATTCATTCAACTAAATATTTTTAGCATTCATTATTTTCATTTTCAACCGAAATGAATGAGCATAAAGTTATTTCAAGAAACCAAATACACTTATCGATGTGAACTAGTTGCTGATTTGTAATATTTCCTTTTTTTCGATTCGATTCATTAGATTTCATTAAGCATAAATTTTCATGCATCCATTCTGCTTCAAACTTTGCCAAGCTTCTCTCTCTATCTGTACATCTTTCTCACTATCTCTCTCTCTCTCTCTCTCTTTCTCACACTCTTTTGTCTCTTTCCATCACATTTGCGCCTACTTTAATCTGTTGTCTTTGGCTATCTCTGTTTTTGGTGTTACACAATTACAACAACAACTACTTTACAGATCCTCAGAACCCAAAGAATTACTATCCGATGAGCAGGTTGAGAATTTGCTATTGAATCACATGGTTGATGAGCACGGCGTCATCATTGTGGAGGAATTAAAGTCACCAACGGCCGCAGCACTCACAACCCGAACATCGGCAGCAACAACAACACCAACCAGCTTACAGCAGCAGCAACGAGCTGCTTTATTATTTTAAGCCTGAGCTATCATAGTTAAAATCCGGAGCTGCTGCATATACCATTTCCCAAGCAATTAGTATGAGGCGTACATATCACTTGACATCATTCAATCCACTGTGAGGTGGATCGGCAGGAGCTGCCCGAGATCATTCAACTGCTTTCTTTTAACGCATAGCTTCTCGCTATGCTCTATTCCTAATATGTGCAATAATGTTGTTTAGCGTACAAAGTCAAACAAAAAACAAAACAAGTTACATTTTATGCTGTTCTGTAATTGAATTAACTAACTAAAGCTAGTCCTAGGCAAAATGCATACAAAAAGAATCAGTTAGAACAAAAATATATAAAATTACCAAAAAAAAAAAAAAAAAAAAACAAAAAACACACAATTCAAAAGAGATAAACCGTAAAATACAAAATAATTATAGAAATTATACAGAGTACGTTATAAATATACATACATATTAATATTGACTTAAATTATGTCTTTTTTTTTTATTAATTTGCCATCAAGTAAATTATTTAAATTAACGTTTTCCTGTCGATAGCACAAAGCGCACTCATCGATAATAATTGGTGCACGATTTTTACTCGGGCAGTGAAAAAGAAAACAGCTTTTGTAAGTGAGCAGCTATCTGCATGAGTGCGATGTTCTTTTTAAATATTATTTGTGACTTTAATTGTATACGAAAAATAAATCAATGACGTTGAAAATATGACATAGTATTATAATTCAGCTAGTTATAAATTCTAAATGACATCTCATATTATTTCTGAATACACAACTTGGGTTGGCAAGCGAGGGATGGGACTTGATATTCCTATCGTATATTTCGCAAATACACTTGTCACATTCATTCATATCGATACCAGTAATCGAACTGTTGTGCATCGCTATTGAGCTCCAAGATATTCCAAATAAAAGCAAAAGGCAATCCGCTGCCAAATTTAGCAACTGCAGCACATTTCACACGGCTGCATCAAAGTGAAAAATGAACGTGCTTCCGGTGCTTTTACTCCTGCTAATGCAGCAGCTAACAGCCGTATCGCTGGCCCAAGCGGATCAAATAGCAATTGGAACTCCAGCTAGTTCCAATGCAACCAAACTATCCATGGTTGGGCCAAACAACAGCACCAGTAATGCAACAACTTTGAACGAAGCTAAAAGTGCTAACGCATCATCATCAGGTATGTGTATTCGAGTTCTCAGATATACAATTTATACATTATTGATATACATACATAAATGTATGTCATAAATCTTGACAGATATAGCCCATCCATTGCCAGTGAACAAACCGGTCAAGGTCAACGCCACGGCGGACCAATCTCCGGTGCTAGCGCGTGGCGTTACCAATACGGACAGAGCTACTGTGGTGAAGCTACCAGCGTCCACACCAGAGCCGCAATTACCTAAAGCATCGAATACGACAACAACAACAATAACGCCGATAACACAACAAACCAAATCAACGGTCAAGACGGACAAAATAGTGGCCGATGGCGTATCGCTGAGTGACATCAAGAACAACAACGGCAACGGCAACGTCAATGGCAATGGCAATGACAGCAAGAACGATAATAATAATAATAATAGCAGCAGCAGCAGCAGCGGCACCACCGTAACTATCAATACAACAACAGCAGCTGTTATCAATGGCACAGCCACAAATAGTAGCAGCAGCAGCAGCATCGCCGCCACGCCAACATCAACAACTTCTACTTCATCAACAACTACTACTACAACCACAACAACAACCACATCCACGACAACGACCACAACTACTCCAAGCACCACAACCACAACCACAGCTCGTCCCAAAAAGCCAACCGTCACCAGCAGCATGGCGAAACAAATTGAGGGTGAGAAATTGGATATGAGTGCTCTCAACGGTGGCAGCGTTGCACCGCATGTCTTGCCCGTGCAGCAGATGAGCAGCAGCCTGGTAAATCGTGGCGAGAACGAATACATCGTGCCCATCGTAACCGTTATGCTGGCTGTGCCGCTCGCCATAGCCGTATTCATTGTGGGCTACAGGCGCTTCCGTGATCTATGGACAACGCGTCACTACAGGCGCATGGACTTTCTGGTCGATGGCATGTACAACGATTGACGAAGGCGCCATCAGCAGCATCAACAGCAGCAGGAGCTGACTGCAAGTGAAGGCGGTGGAGGTGCTGGAGGTGCCACGCGGCTGCCGTAGCGCAAACGAATTTGATAAAGCACAGCAAATAATTGGAAAGATTATTAATTGTTAAGATATTATTATTATTATTATCATTATTATTCTTATTATTTGATTTCTGCATGGAATGCAAAAACAGAAGCAATGAGCGAGAGCCACAGTGTGGGCGAGAGTGAGAGAGAGAGAGAGAGAGCAATTGATACGAGGCGCATGTTATAGCGGGGCAACGGCACAGACTAAATATACACACATACACACACACACACACCCACACACATTGCTCAGTCAATTAAAACATTGAGAATATTTGTATAGCTGTTGTTTGTGCGTGTGTTTGTGTGTGCAAGAGTAATTTCCAAGAATATATATACACATATATAGTATATACCCAGCGGCCAAATCGAATATGTTGATAAGATTCAAGCGTAGCGCAAAGCAAAACAAAAATTAAACTCATTGAATGAAAATATTGCCAGCATTTGATTAATAGCTTAACATTTAATTTCTGCATTTTCTAATATCAATCTATTTACATATACAAATATATATATATATATATATATATATATATATATATATATATATATATATATATATATATATATATATATATATATATATATATATATATATATATATATATATATATAGATATATGAATGTATGTCTCCGTATATAGTTATACATTTATACTACCTTTAAACTATGCAACAAAGTTGTAGAAGGAATATTTCAATACTTAAGGCGCAATTAGCAATCAATCATAAATTATACTATACAAATCTTATTGTAAACCATTTATATGTAAATGTATATTATATATATATAACCAAAATGTGCCTTACAGCTCTCAATAATGCTGTATCATATATACACACATCTATCTGTTCGGTAACAATATCTTATAGACTTTCAGATCTTGGCAAAGTAATTGATCTACGAACCAAAAACAAAAACAAATACAAAAACAAAACAGAATTGGATTTAGCCAGCTGTATAAAGAGAACAATATGGAAAGAAAACAAAAACAAAGCGCGCATTTATTACATAATAATTTGTTATAAACGAAACTATTACAATAAAGCAAATGCAGTGTAACCAATAATAATAAAGTAGAGAACCTTGAGTCAATTTGCCTTCGGGCAGCATGAAACATGCGTAACACGCATCGAGAGTCCAACAACAGCAACAACAACACAAATTGTATACAACAAATGTGAAATGCATTGGCAAAACGATTTTGTTCTGCGAAAATAACACGCACTGCCAAAACACGAAAAATATAATCTTCAAACGAGCTATTGCCTATATCAGATATTACTTGTTGGCTATTAGAAGTCGACAAAAAAAACCAATTGCAATTTGTTATAGATATATCAATTATATGTTACTATTAAACCAAATGATTATCAGTTATCTCGAATCATTCATTTCAAGTTTCATTTATTGGAATATTTATTTTACCCCTCTCTCAGACAGCAGCGCCTCTCTATGTGATTCCCACAAATTCAAGCAAGTGTGAGCGACAGTCCAAGTATGATATCAAATTGATGCAGCTGCTAAAGCTGACAAATGCATTGAGAATTACAGAGAAAGGCGCTACTGATAGTCATTATACTAAAAGGGAAGGCAAGTGTAATCCAACTGAAAAGCCAAATACTTTTAACCCCAAATGTGTTAGAGAAATAGTTATGCCTGGTATGCCACGCCCCATAGGGAATTATTTAAAGGCTAACTAACTAAGCGAAAGGTACATAACCCAAACATGATAAACTCTTCACTTTGTGAACTAGCATAAATGCTTGAGAGAGAGAGAGAGAGAGAGCGAGAGGGATGGAGAGGCAGAGAAAGAGAGGGACAAGCATTGCTAGGCCGAGTCCTGTTCCGCTATTTCTTTCAATTTTAAAATTTAAAATTTATTTTATTTTCTATAAAAATTTATGAATAATTTTATTTGCCTCATATATTATTCCACAGAGATCTTTTTGATCTTTCATATAATAAATATAAATCAACATCTCCCAGGATCACAAATTGGACCGAAATGGGAGAGGCAGCCGCGTCGCTTCGCCTTGCGTGCGACACATTTGTGTGTGAAATGTTGTAAACCGTTTGACCTTTTGTCGCTAATAGATCACCAGAGCGGCTGCTCCCTGCTTGATTAAGACAAATGCCTAACAACGTGCATAGCCGCCTCAGCATTTTGTTAGCTGAAGTGGTTTATAAATTATCTCCATATTCTCCATATAGACTTTTGTAGTTCGTTCGTTTCTAATAATCTAAACAACACACAGAGAAAAAAATATATATATTTAAAAAAAAAAAAAAATACAGAAAGAAATACAAACAACATTCACGTGTGTGTGTGTGTGTGCGTGTATACAGAGAGATGCTTTGGCCGGATGGTTGAACGGCACGGCACGCCACGGAACGGAGCGGAGCGGAGGCGCCGTAAACAGCAACGTGTGAAATGAGCCGAACAACTGCTTCGACGCTTGAGACTTGCGGCCCGCTGCTCAATTGGAAACGTGCGCTAGACGCGTGCAGTGCTCATCGTGCGCCATTGTAACGATACAGATCTTTTGCCGAGGAGCAGCAGCAGCAGCAGCAGCATCATCATCATGCATCCTGCATCGCCGCATCAGCATCGATCGCGTCTCAATCCGCCCGGAACAGTCGCCGGCCAGACCTCGCTTGCCCCACAGCAGCAGCAGCAACAACAACAGCAGCAGCACACGGTTCAGATCAGCTCCAGCACCCATCCCTATCAGGGACTGAAAACCTGTAAGAAACAAGCCTGCAAACTACTAAAACTTTCACCTGAAAGACAAATCTGAAAAGAAGAAACAAATTTCCCTACTCTAAATTCTCTTCACAAAACTTCACAACTTTGATCGTTTTCCAGTTACAAATTGTTTTTCAATATTTGGCCGCATTTCCCATTGCATATTTGGTTCATAAGCTGATTGACGTTCTGTGTGTTTGTGTGTGTAGAACTATAAAAGATACAAATAGTTTTCGTTTCACGATCTCATAAATTCATATTTATGCGCTCGAAAAAACATAATTCAGTCATTTTGGCCCCCGGCCGTAGGTGAAAATGATTCATTCCATGTCGATGATATTGTATACACATACATATATTGAATGATACATATCTATCGATCAGCCGAGATCGAGCGACGACCACCTATGAAGTATGCAATATAAACTGTGCGCCGACAAGTAAAAATAAATAACGGCCAAGATTGACGAGACGCGACGCAACGTGACGTGACGTGATGTGACGTGAGGCAATGATTTGATTCGTATACGGATATGGGATATAAATCGTATTGTCGAAACATATAAGATAAACAAAAAGAAAAAGAAAAGCTGCTCCAACTGAAAATAACCGTGCTACCCATTTATAGAGTGAACTTTTCTTTTTCCTTTTCTTTTCATTTTGGCCAACATGTACTCGTACTACATAAACATTCCATAAATGTTCCAATTGGCCAGGCAATTGTTTAGCTTTGCTTTGGTCTGCTCTGCCCTGGATTGGTATTAGTTCAACCTGCCCGCACTCGTTGAAATCTCTATACTAAAACATAAACAATCCATGCAATTACCATTCTATATATATATATATATATATATATATATATATATGTATATGTATATATGTAGCTATGTCTGCTTAGGCTGTTCATCTATGAAAATATGGCTAATTTAGCCATAAACAAATACCTACTTATGTAGTTAGCCAATAGCGAGCTGATAGATCGCAGCCGTATGCAAGATCTCTGAGATCAAAAACAATTGCTTTCATTCCATTTTACTTCCAGGTCATAAAACTTCACTTTTATGGCAGATATATGGATAGATTGTACTCTTCATTTGAAATGCAATTAAGCTTAATGTAGTACAGGTCTTCATATTTAATGTAGTCACTTTTATGATTTATATATAGATAGATTATATACTCTTATATGAAGTGCAATTAACTTTATTATTTATATGGTTCTAAATCTTAAAATCTTTACAAAACTATGAATTATTATAGGCCAGTAAATTAATGCAATTAATGATTTAATATTATTTTTTTTTAAAGATATTTATATATATTCCTTTCTTTTTTTTTTTTTAATTTCTATCCATTTATTTATGTTATTTATAAAAAATATATGCATTAATTTTTTGTATTCATATTTAATATATTTTATATTTTATAATTTATACTATTTACTATTTATTTATATAATTTATATTATTAAAATCTATATTATTTATTACTTATTTTATTTATTATCATATATTTATTATTATTTATTTTCAATTTCTGATAGTGCAATATAATTGAAGCAGCACTTCCAATTATCGTTTGCTCTTAAAATTCCAATTAATTCCGAAAGAAATATTAAAGTTTTCAAGGCTCAGCATTGCAGAAGTAAAAAAAAAATATCAAAATTGTATATTGAAAGGAAGAAACTTCATAATGGATATAAGAATAGAGATAGCTAAGAAATTTCTTTTTGAATCAATATATACTTCTACATATTCATATCTTCAATATACTTATACCTAGTTACTGACCCCAACAGCTGATACAAGTATTGTACATACATACATAAAAAATGTAATGCTTAAGCCACATAGCAAACAGACTTAGAGAGATGATCGAGTCAAATCGAAATCATTATCAACTATCATAGGCATTCTTATCAACACAATTACATTGGCAGTTGGGCATATAATGATGGTATAGCCATTACCTCTAGAGCCTGTTTGGCCAGTAGAATAAATATTTAGCCATGTTTTTTGATTAAATGTACGCCAAGTGTTTTGACTGATTTCGTGTGATCTCTGTTTGTGGCCAGTGTCTGTGCCCATTTCCAATGAAAATCTGTCCGGCTGTCCGTGTTCAGTGGAACAACAAACGGAAATCCGAGGCGGCATTGAGAAAACATTTGCGTTTTTAGCAACACGAGCAACGCGAGCAACAAGTGCCACAATGCACATGTGGCAGACGGCAGCACAAACCACACAGCGCACCACCCCACACACCCCACACACCCCACACGCCCACCAGCCACACAGCATGCGAGCACGTCATGAAATGTGTCTTCAATTGATTTTCAATTGCTTGTGAAATGCTGCGATTAATGTTACACATTCCGCAGCTCCTTTTGATTTGGTTTTTGCTTTCCTCTCGTCTCGCAGCTGAAAATGAGGAGATGGGCTGCGTGGAGCTGCTGGCCACGGCAATATCGGTGCTGATCATGGTGCTGACGTTTCCCTTCTCGGTCTTCATTTGCTTCAAGGTGGTCTCCGAGTACGAGCGTGCGGTCATCTTTCGCATGGGCCGACTGCGCAGCGGCGGGGCGCGCGGCCCGGGCGTCTTCTTTGTGCTGCCCTGCGTGGATGACTACTATCCGGTGGATCTGCGCACCGTCTCGTTCGATGTGCCGCCGCAGGAGGTGCTCTCTAAGGACTCGGTGACGGTGACAGTTGATGCAGTGGTCTACTATCGCATCAGTGATCCACTGAAGGCCGTTATTCAGGTATCAAACTACAGCCACTCCACACGCCTCTTGGCTGCCACAACGCTGCGCAACGTGCTGGGCACTCGCAACCTGTCGGAGCTGCTCACTGAGCGCGAGACCATTTCGCATACGATGCAAATGTCCCTGGACGAAGCGACCGACCCTTGGGGCGTCAAGGTGGAACGAGTGGAAATGTGAGTCGCATGGAATGGAATTTAGATCTCTGTATAATAATCTGAATGCATTCTCTCCATTTATTGCAGCAAGGATGTCTCGCTGCCAACGGCACTGCAACGCGCCATGGCCGCCGAGGCGGAGGCTGCGCGTGAGGCACGCGCCAAGGTGATTGCCGCCGAGGGTGAGATGAAATCGTCGCGTGCACTCAAAGAAGCCTCCGAGATCATATCGTCGAGTCCATCGGCTCTGCAGCTGCGCTACTTGCAGACGCTGAGCAGCATCTCGGCGGAGAAGAACTCGACCATCATTTTCCCCCTGCCCATAGAGCTGCTCACACCATTTCTGAACTCGTCCGCCCAGCATGCGGCCAACTTGCATGCGACGCCATCGCCCCTGCACAGGCACCAGCACCAGCACCATCAGTGACGCTCGATGTCGGTGCTGCAGCCGTACCTGGAGGCGCTGGGTCGCTGCGAGCTGCGCCGGCAAATTGCGGGCAACGATAACGTGGAGGACGATGACGATATCGTTGGCTACTTGCTGTGAGAGAAGCAAGAGGGGGAGAGAAAGAGAGAGAGAGAGCAGAGAGAGAGCCAATCGGTGCTTTATAGTGAACTCAATTCTGTGCCTAAGCACATCCACTTGCTGTTCTTCAATTTACTTACTTTAAGTAAAAATCATTTGAACTAATATTTAAGTTATGTTTAATGTTTTTTTTTTCTATTAAATGTAAAACCTTGTACGTAATTCATTTAAATTCGTAATTTATAGCTACCATTTGTAACTGTTCAACTAGACCTAAGCAAGGGCCCGAAGTGCTTGACTGAAGCACGTCTTAAATACTCTGCCAATCCGCACTGCCTTTCACATAGCGTTCAGCATGTCTGTTCAAGTATTTATAATTTCTAAGCACATAAAATAATATAATTGATTCAGCATATGCATAAATACCAAGGCATAAGGCATTCATTTTGATTAGTAAAGCCGATACAAGTTCCTAATTCTTGACTTGAAGCATAACTTTGTTAACATTCAAGATAGAACTATTAAGAATTTATTCCTAATAATGATTATTATAATTATGTACTTTACGGCACATTATTATATTATTTTATTTTTATTTTTTATATTAATTCATTAATTATTATTTTTCATTTTTTATAATATAAATATTTTGCTTAGAACATGATTTTATTTAGTTGAGCGGTAACAATTTCTCTAAAATTAAACAATCATTTTATTTTTATTTATGTATGTATATTTAAAATATTTGTTTAATTACGTTTAATAAAATTAATTTTAGGGCTTCTAGGGCGCTCTGAATTGAGTTTAGTTTCTGCTTCTTCTTCCACAGCCTGGAGTGTAAACTTCAATTTGTATTTTATTCATTACGTCTTCAGTTAAATTTTATATTCTTCTTTTTTTAATAACAATTTATTTATATTAATACAAATATGTATATCTTTATATATATTATTTATTATGATATTTATTGATAATTTATTTATATTAATACATATATGTATATGTATATAATATTTATTGATATATATAATAAGTTTATTTATAACCGACTTCAGCCAGTTCCAGTTCTTCAGCTGAAATTTCGGTTCAAAATTCGAATTTCGTAGGAGCTTTTATTTTTTATTCCTTTTTTCTGCCCATTTTTTGTCAACTCTGTTTTGAAATAGTCTAACACTTGTTTTCAATCTAGTTTACTTAGCGTCCTTCAAATTATTTACTCGAAAGTATGCAATATTTTTTGTTGTACTCAGTTGTTGCCACTCAACCCAATGCTAAATTCGAATCTAGTTAGCCCTGAAAAGTTTTTCGTTGAATTCGAGCTGCTCTGAGAGCTCATAAAGGAAAATCGTCAGTCTCTGTTACCTAGTCAAACGAACAGGACGAATAAAAATTTCAATTTCCAAATATACAAACAAAAATTTGAAAAAACCAAATAATACAATTTCAAAAGTGAATTTTTATTTTTATATATATTTATATATACATTATAAATTGTTCGCAAACTCGTAAGATTGTGAAAAAATTGACAACCTAAAATTGAGAAAAAAAAGTTCACAAAAGAAAAAATCATTTTTTTTTTGTATGCAAGCAAATTGAATTCAATCATGAAGAAGTCTTATTATTCCCAACCGGTAAGTGACGAAGCTCTTTTGTGTTCCTTCACATAATCACATGCCTTGTAGAAGAAATCGAAGAACACTTGCAAGGAGCGGCTTGATTGCCAAAAGATGGCTGGACTTGGCCTGGAGTCAACCGACGAGAGTGCTTTGAGTGGACATATCGATTCCATCTCGAAATCGCTCTCACAGTCGTTCTCCATGTCGCTGTCGGAGACTCCATCGTACTACAAGCAGTACAGGAAGCACCCCGACTGCGAGAAGTCCACACAGACTATGGTGTTCGCTTGCCCTCGCTGCAGCAGGGAATTCGGTTCGATTCAAACTTCTGAAAGTCAGAGCGATAGCTCGTCCAGCCAGCAACAGACTGAAGATCAACTGGAGCTGTCCTCAGGACGTACTGAAATGACGGGCCTTACCATGGATATGCCGTCACCACCGAAACCGCTGTCGGCCAAGTCATCCAAGCAGCTGGAGCAGCTGTCAATCAAAGAGCCGAAGTCAACAAATGCTGAACATGCAAGTGGCTATAAGCCACGCTGTGACGGTAAGCCGCCACGCTATCCGCAGCCAATCAACAAAGAGATTCCAATGGACTATCACAAGCAATCGACCAGCCGTAAGTCCAAGTCGAAGATATCCAAGGCGCTGCAGTCACCAGTCAGCGAAGGCTCATTGCAGAAGCTGGGCGGCAAGCACATGTACGATTTTCCGGATAAGGGCTACGTTTCTCCAGCGGCCACTGAGCCGTGCGGTCCGCTTGATCTGCGCAAGCAGAAGCCGCCGCAGAGCTTCCGCACTGTGGCCACTGAGACATCACTTCAGTCCATTGCCGACAAATCGCCAAAGGAGTCGGAGCACAAAGAGTTTGCTGTTCCACTACCCAAACATCAGACTTCCCAGCACGTTCGCAAACAGACCCAATATACACCAGATGACGTGGATCTGCATGCAGCACAAACCAGCAGGGTGACTAAGAAGGGTCGCAATCCGTCACGCAACATGGAACAAGAGACAAAATCAAGTGCCACCAGCATGAAGGAGTCAACTGAGATCAAACCATCGACCAAGGTGCATACTTGCAAGACATCGAAAGCGGCCCAGACACAGTCGAAGTCACGCCACGGACGTCATGGCAACAAGAATAGCCAATTGGCTATTGCCAGGCGTGCCAAGGAGGCAACCGCCGAGAGTAACGAGCTGCGCAATAAGATAGTCGATGATCTCATTTACTATAAGAGCCTCCACGAAGGCAATTCCACATCGAGTGGCTCATCCTCGATGTTGCGTTCGATTAACGATGATATGACCAAATTGTTCGATCTATATGCAACTACCACACCCAGTGAGACAACAGAGTCGCCGACTTCGGGCAGCAAGACCGAGTCACCAAAACCAAGCTGCGTAAAGGAGCGCCATCATTTGCCATCACTGGGCTTGCCCAGTCCAGCTCAGCCTAAGCAGGAGGAACGCAAGTTATCAAAGGCTGAGGAAAAGGTACGTGATGCTCTACGTCAGGGACCGAAGATCATGAACATGTTGAACCTTACACCACAAGACCTGATCGATACCCATGTCACGGCCCCAATGATTCGTCGCGTTCAGCGCATTTATCGCGCCAATTTGGCTGAGCAAATGATGCTCGTCCAGGAGCTGGACAGCATTCCAAAGTTGGTGCGCGAAATGTTGCAGAAACTGCAACAGAAGTAAATTTAACTGTTTTTCTTATTATTGGTTAATCAACAACAACAACAACAACAAAAATTTCTAGTTATGTGTTAAACAATCGAAATTGAAGGAAATTCGGATATGGCTCACAGATGAATCCTCAATAAACATGCAAATATGCTGAACGTATTGATTGATATATCTATATATAGATCTATATATACATATCTATATAAATATATTGTAAACATACATACACAAAAAAAAAATTTATTAATAAATATTTTATCAATGCAATGAAATACATATGTACTTGCTTATTTAATATGTATGTATTTGTGTGTGTGTGTGTGTGTGTGTGTGTGTATCTCTGTATTGGTTGTATAAAATGGCTTTTACAAAATGTATACAAAATAATTGTGACTTAATATAAATATACATATATACATTGGAAATGTGCGTAAAAGTAGCTCGATGTCGACTCAATTTCAATATAAATCAATTTCAGTTTGAAGCTCGAAAGAATATTAGATATAATAAGCATATATATGGGTATATATCTATGCATGTGACATATATGGTCATATCGTGATAAACAAAGACGTAAATAATTAGAATTTTCTTTTTACTTTTTGTTTTTTGTTTTCTTTTTTTTTTTTTTTGGGTTATGCGGCACATTCTCTCCCTTTCTCTCCATCTCTAGCTCTATCTCTGTCTAATTCAAGTGTTATACACCATTTTGCACAAAATGTTACGTACTGAATGCGAATTCGATTCAGTATGGACTATTGCATTTATATACTATGATCAAACATATCGAGTACCGTTATCAATGCCTGATTCATTCACATTCTCACAGATATTTTCCATGTTGTCGGAAAATAAATGGAATTATGTGTTGGGCTTAGCAAGCATCCAAAGCAAAGCATATGCGGGTTTAATAAAGACTTGGCTTAACACATATAAGTACATATATGTATATAGACATATACATATATACAGATATATACGTGAGTATGTGTGTGTGTGTGAAAAAAAATCCAATTTGCATTCAAGCAAAATAATGGCCACTGCTGCGGAAATTAAAGCATAACTTAAACTAATCAATCCCTAGTGCTAACTGTCAAAGAGCACTTAAAATATCTTCGCTAGACTCGGCGTACGTCGAAAGGGATTCCACGAACTGGACGACACGCTGCCCACAAAGCGCGTCTTGGCCGAGTTCTTGAGCCGCAGCTTGGGCTTTGTGGTGGTGCTGGTGGGGCTAGATGAGCCGGACGAAACGCCCGATGAGCTGGCGGCCGATAACGTTGATATGGAGCCCTTTGACGAGAGTGGCTGCAATCGAATCTTGATTAATATATGTATGTAATTTCTATCGAATTTCAATTCCTTTACCTTTAGATAATTGCGATCCATGGGCGTAATGACCTTAAGTTCCAGTGTAGCGCCACAGGATTGTATGAGCCGTACGACCTGCTGATGCGAATACCATTTGACATCCATGCCCGCAATTTCCACAATAAAGTCCCCCTCCTTGATGCCGCCCAACTACAATGGAGAATATGATCAAAGTAAGTACTAACTTTAGGCAACTTATCTCAATCGAAGCCTAATACTAACATCGGCCAATGAATTGATCTCGACATGTGCTATTATGACGGGCGCATCGCCACGCACATGAAATCCGAAATTCTCTAGCTCCTCCTTGTACAGGCTGCAGCCGGCCTCGTGACTCTCGTCGCCCCTGGGACAGTGGCAATGATAGCTGCTCGCATCATGATATATGGCCGAGCCCTTCTGTAGGCGAACACAGCGCGGCGCTGTCCAGTGGCGACGTGCGGAGAATATTGCAATGGGGCCGAGTCGCTTGAACGGATCTTCCACTTTGTACGATGTAAAGTCCGGACCCGTCAACGTCAGCGTGAACTTTGAGGAGGCTGCGGGCAAGCAAATATACGTATATTATAATATACTTATGTAGGTATATCTATCAAATCTCGTCTTTAGTGCTCACCTTCCACAACTCGCTCAGTTAAATCGTAGCACTCATCTATGTTCTTGACCGGAGCCTGAAGGCAGAATCGTTCATACTCGTCCTGGGTCTTGTAGTACGCCTCCTTGATGACCTGCGTCAGTGATGTTTTGTTCTGCAAATGATGATGCAGTGGGGCGTTAATCAATTGCCACTGGATGATTGATTGAATGCTTACTGAATGACTCACTCACCTTCAGGTAGCGGCACATGCGCTGCAACCGCTGCGCCTCCTCGTGACTAGCCAGAGCTTCTTTCAAGTGGGTGCGCTTGATGGCAGCTACGCTGACGGTCTCCTCCTCGCATACGCTGTTCGCCTCGGTGGCACGCAGTGCCTCCCGCGCATTCCCAATGAACGATTCGTTCGACGATGCCGCCTGACTCTTTTTGGTGCCCAACGAGACGTTGTCGGCGTCGCCCACAGTGGTATCAATGCTCCGCGCCTCGTAATGATGTGCCAAAGCTGAATGGATGCAATTGCAATGCTATTGTTAGTTCACCATCCATTTGATGTTGGCCAAATGCCAATATCAATAGCAAGGCCAATCATCGTTCCGACTCACCTTTGTACAATTCGGCCTTGAGCGGCACCAGACCCGCCCAGCACTCGGGCAAATAGGTGTGGGTGTCATTCACTTGGATATTCTTATGCATTTCATTGTACTCCAGCGACAGCTGTGCCGCCTCGCCGGCCAAGTCCCGAAAGAGCTGTAAATGTCGCAATGAAATGAATTAGCTAAGACTCATCAAATGACGGCGCACAGCTCAAATGCATATTCAGATAAATCTGTGGGTCAGTCAATTTGGACATATGCCACATACATATATCATTGTTGTTTTCGAATACGTCACGTACTCCAGGCATTGATAGCGTTTAGGTAATTGGGCAATAGAAATGGGAGACAATGACTTTTATAGCTAATTGAGCTCTCTCAATCCATTTGACTTACATGACTGGACTCCGTTAGGCCCAGGGCCTCAATCTGTAGCTGCAGCTTCTCGAACAGGCATTCGCGTGCCTGGGACAACATGAGTGAGACAAGCACATCGAGCACCTGCGGCTTCAGGTCCATCGACGGTGCATTGGTGAACGTATCGTAGATGTGCCGAAAGACGCCCGCCGCACGCAAAAAACTATCAACGGCTGCGTCCAGGCCGCGTTCGGTGCGCCTGTCGTGACGTGCACCGATCTGTGTGTAAATGGCGCCCAGATTGAACAGCGTGCAGGCCTTCTCGAAGGCAATGGTGCGCTGGCAGGAGGGCACACCAGTGAGCGAGTCGTACCACTCGAAGTAAACGCCCAGATTGCGATCGGGCGGAAAGAAGCGACGTTCCACATAATACAATAGATTGTAGTAACGGAAGAGCAGCGCAACACCCAGGCCATCACGTGAGGGTGTCTTTGATGCCTATACACATACATATATAAATATAAATATATATATATATATATATATATATAGAGAGAGAGAGAGAGAGAGAGAGAGAGAGAATAATTATAGTCAGATCGATATGCATCAGTATCACCTGTCCAGCTTACCTGTCTGGTGTCTGTCATATCAGCTATGGCATCCATATATATTGACGGCTCTTCACTGTAGTGCTCCAATATAAAGTCCGAAAATGGCTCCATAAAATTGATCTCCTTTGTCTCCTTGAGACCCAACGGTATCATGGGCATAATACCTTCATGACTGTAAATGAAAGTTGGACAAAATTTATTTAAATTTACATTGATCTTAACTTTAGTAACTGAGAATTTAGCTAGACTAGAATCTAGCGAATTTAGCTAATCAAGCGAGAAATAAGTTAGCTAGCTATTATCTCATAGGTATAGCTATACATATACATTTATTTATATATGTATGTGAATATATATCTATTTAACAACCTGATCAACTTCAATTAGCGTGTGCGACGAACCCTGGAAACCCAAATCTCTATGGAGTTTATATTGGACAAGTGACGTTGCTTCATTTGCGTCTGTCTGGCTGTCCATTGTGGAAATACATTTTACTATTGTTGGTTTGTTTGTTTCATATTTGTATTTTTGTCAGTTGTGCATTTAATGACGCTTTTTCACTTTCTTTGTTGTTTTGTTTGTTTGATTGTTGTTGTTTCTATACTTTTTTTGAGCTTTTTTTTTAGCGCTGTGATTTCGTTCCAGTAGACGGCGCAAAAAGGCGCTTGACCAGAAACTAATGCGCAAAAATTACAGCTGCCCAGCTGGGTAGCGCCCCATAGTTTGTTGCATACCCCAATCCCAGCCAACAGAGGGCAGTAGCTACAGCTTAAACTTCACATTAAAAAAAACAAAAAAAAAAGCAAGAAGAAATAGCAACAACAACAACAAAAACAGCAAAGCAACAAATTTCAACATTTGCATGCAAAGCAACAACAACAACAACACTAACTGTTACTACTATTACTACAATCAAATGGCCAAAACGACAAATAATGGCAACAAGTTATTTGGGAAATGGGCGCAGGTGGCTTTGGCCAGTGCAGCCAGTGCGCGCCCAGTGGAGCAGTTAATCATTATAACACCACTCACCTCTCGCTTTGATAGATCTCCACAGATGAGTTCAGCTCGGCCAGCTGCTCCTTGAGCAACTGCAAATTTGAATTGACAAAGCTCAGCTCCAGAGCGACGGTGTCTCGCAGCTTCCGGTTGGTCGTGGCCTGCAAGAATGCAATGAATACATTCTCATTATTAATATGACAAACAGAGATAGGGAGAGGGGGAAAGAGAAAGAGAGAGAGAGAGAGACAGCTATTAATCAATCTAATCCAAAGTAAACTAATCATATGCCTATTGAGGAACCATATCCACCAGCTCAAGTCTGGAATGCAACAAAGCAAACTTTATTGCGATTTTATTACAAATTTTCTGCATTATTTTATTTGCAATATTTGAAAAAAAAAAAAAAAATAAATGAATAAATAAAAATAAATAAAATTAGATTAAGTTATCATTAAAGTAAAAAACTTGAATAGAGTAATGAATTTAGGAAAAAAAAAAAGTTGTTTATATTCATATAAATTCAATAAGCTAAAGTCATGGCATTTTTTCCACTTATGAAATGCAATCGAAGCGACTCAGATTAATGGTATCAAAACATATGGATGCCATAGCTCCACAGCCAGTTTAAGCTGTAAATTTATATGAATTCATTGTAGGAATTCTATTGAAGGGAGTGCTTGACTAGCAAATACCAGAAACTTGATGCGTTTTCAAAATTCAATTAGTATGTGTTTGACAGCCGGTAATGGGTATTCAAAGAGCAAATGGCTCTTGTCAGTTTGGAACAGGTGCCCAAAAGGCAAAGAGCTCGTCGGTTTTTGTGCACCTGCGCGAATCTTTATACACAATTTGTTAGCTGTCGCAGCTAAAACATTGAAAGAATATGTAGAAATATATTCATTGAAATGTTTATAATAAACTAAATGATAAGAAACAAGCTTGATTTGTGCATATAAAATGGGAGACTACAAAAATCTGCAGGTTCAAGCTGGGAGATCGATGGAAATGCCAATATATATATGAACACACAGAGAATTCCAGATAGAAGAGCACATGTGAACTCCGGTCCACTTTCTTATTTAGAAAACTAATATACTCTAAAATTCCCCCTCTTTATGGCTTCATTGCCTAAAATCGACTTACCTTGTATAAATTTTCGGCGCCAGCGCGCAGTCGCAGCTCCTTGTTGATTTCCTGATTCAGTTTGCAGCGTCGACTTTGTAATTTGCCGCGACAGGTAGCCGCACGTGGATCGGAGCCCTGTAATGATTAGAGTGGAATTTAAATTAGTAAGTATACGTATTTCAATGAACTATCTTAATGAGTGCGAGTAATGCCAATGCTAAATAATGGATAGTAAAAATTAATGGATTTCTTTTCTAGCTAAACAACTTGGCTTCAATCATTCCGTATGTAACAAAACAAAAAACACATATTTTACATACATACATAATTACAAGCATGCATACATACATACATACATACATACATATGTGTATACATATATCATACCTTTATACCTTACACCTTCTTCAAAGGGGGCCAATGCATAATTTTCGCTTGGAACGTGCCAAGCGAATGCGGCAAACAAAGTTGATTGACTTAACAAACCAACAGAATAGAATACAGAGAATAGAATATATAGACCCTACAGCCACAACACAAAAAAAAAAGTACTAGAATGATAAATGAAGCTCTTGGTTCGTGGAAAGTGTAACTGTTGCAACTGCAACTGCAGCTGCCACAGCCACTGAATGGGAATGGCACAGTGTAAACTCTCTGGCTACACTGAGGGAAAAGCAGAAGTGGGGAGATGAAAAACTAAATCAAATTCAATTTCAAAATAAAAAATCTATATTACAATACTAATGAATATATGATTAATATTTATATTATATATATGATATAATATGAAATATACAAATCTAAATCACTTCTATCAATTCATGAACTTTTCGCTCAGTGTAGCACTTGCAACTGCATAACAATAACAAAAGCTCAGCGTGTTATCTACGACTATTAGTATGCGTGTGTGTGTGTGTGTGTGTTTGTGTATATAAGGCCAATGCGCCGATGTTAGCATTGTAGAAGTAGAAACAACCTGAAACATGGCTATGGCTAGGCCATAATTACATTGCGTCCACGTTCACAGACACAAATACAAATGCAAATACAAACACAAACATAGCTACAAATACAATTGCACATTAACACATTCACGTATTTGTACGCCAACGCAGCGTGACACGATCGCAATAATCGTAAACGGAAGTAGGAAGTCATCGTCACGACGCTGCACATTCTGGCATACATGGATGGAACCTTCTCCATAGGGTGTGAGGTTCAGAATTAAGTGGCAGAAGAAGAAGAAGAAGAAGACGCCAAGAAGACCTTAATATGCATTGTCTGTATGCCTGTCGTGTCATGCCTGATGCCAAAGCAAAGCACTCGAGTTGAGAACATTGAAGTTTCCAGCTCGTTGCTCAACTTGAGCGGGGTAAACATGTCGACATATACTACATACTATATAAATATATATACATATATACATATATTTATAAAGGCATGCCTTATACCCAAGTACTTTTCCTTAAACTCCAAATAATGTAAACAAAGACAACAATAAGCAAAAGTTAAGAATGCTATCGCATAAATATTTATATAAAAAAATAAAAAATAAATATAAATACGAATATAAGATAATAGGTGAAAACAAAATTGATTGAGATGAAAGTTGGGATATATCGTGTTTGATTGATGCAAGCATAATAATACAAAAATCAAGCAAGTATAATAACACAAAACAAGCTGAAAGAACTGAAAGCAAATTAAAGACAAAAGCAAATAAATTAAGATAACATTTTTTGGCGTGGCAAAGATTTTGAGTCTTTGACCGAGTTATTCATGTTAAAATTCTATGAACTGCGAAATAGCACATTATGTAAATATGTTAAGAGATTCATTTGTGTGTACGACCCCAATCTTAGAATACATATACATATATATATGAGACATCTATATATATAGTTGTTAACTTCAAAACAACTTCGTCACGCGCTCGTTCACTTTCTTAGCTCCAATTAATTTAACATTTTATTAATATTAATTTAAGTGAGGCGATAAAGAAACTATCAACATTTATTAAGCTGACAAACAACTAACAGAAATATATTGCAGTAACTCAATATCACAATGGCAAAATCATGTATGTCCATATCTGGATGACAGAGATTTATAGAAATGTATGTGGAATTTGTAAAAAGTTTAGAAAAAAAAGTAGAAGTGCGTTCAGGTGTTATTAAGGTATTTATACATATAACCGATATCAACAGCTGTTTAAATGCACTTTTAGCCAGGCTAAAATATCTTGTTTACACGATCAAACAGAACTGTGTAGGTTTCAGTGTCGAGCTCAGCAGATCAGAAGGTTTTATGGAAGAGTATGATGAGACATCTGATTACTATATACTTTATAAATATTTACATAATTATTGGTATTGATATTAGTATTGGCATTTTAGCTTTATGATTAGTATTTATATAGATGTCTAACTAATAGCAATGCTAATGATTATGAAAATAGGCATATGATAGTAAATAATGAATGTAAATAATAACAAAATACTAATGCAATGACATGAATGATATAATGGTGTTTATAAAAATAATATTAATAGCTATAATTAATATAAAGATAATAATCATAATAATAATAATAATATAATAATAATAATAATAATAATAATAATAATAACAAAGATAATAATCATAATAAAAATAATGATGATGATGCTGATAATAATAATAAGATGAAAGAAAAAATCGTATACCTATTTTATTACACCTAATATATTATGCTTATTTAAATTATACCTATCACATATTATATTTATACTTATTTCGACTTATACCTATATATTATATTTTTTATATTTATACCTTTAATTTATGTGAACTATCATTGTATTTGTATCTATTATATTATTATATTATATTATTATTATACCTATTCCATATTATACCAATTTCACAGTTTATTTGGCAATCATTTATAATTGTATAAACCTATTTAAAATTCCCTATTTTATAGTTCCCTTCGAAGCGCATACAACCCAAAGTATCCAGAGAGTTTTAAGCCCGGCTAACAGCCTGAAAGCGTTAATAACATGCATGATTAGCTATGACAGGCAGACATTGCTTAGACACTTGGCCACCTATAAACTTGGCTTGGAGGCTCTGTGCGCGCCAAGGTTAAGGGTTCATGGGCCGATGCAGCTGGACGTGTGCTGCTAATGAGCCAACTAGTTGGCTAAGGACAATTGACACGGCACTGGCACTGGCTCTGGCACTGGCCTGGCCTGGGCACCTTTTGCGGTTAGCTTTGGGCACTGGCTGAGTGTTTGGTCTTTATTATTTACCGACCAAAGCTGGCAGCAGGTAAACGAGCCCAGGTGAATGCATTTTCCAATTGTATTTGTGTTGAGTTTGCTTTGTTTGCCATGCGCTGGCGTGTTCTGCATAATTAAAGGCGACATCGCTTGGCCTGCGCAACGTTGGGCGGGCGGCAGTCAGACCTCGACCATGCCTTGAACGAACGAGCGTAGTTTATGATCGTCTTCGGTAACAAAAGTTGAGTTGACTTCAGCTGCGGTGCAGTTTGACTGGAGTCGCGTCGAGGCGGATTTGGCAGCGACCCAGCGGCTGTCCGCATAAAACAAATGGCGCCCGCGCTGCAATGCCCAAACGAAATATACCGCTGGACAATGAACCCAGAGAGCGTCATGTCGTTTCGAACGGATCGCCATGGGCCCACAACGGATCGACGTTGAGTCGCCTGGCATTAGACATGCATCAGCATCGCCTGCACGTGCTTGAAAAGTCAATGCACCTACCCAACTAACTGGCGGCGAGGCGGCAGCCACTTGGCCACTTGCCTGCCCTGAGCACAACATTGGGGAGAGGGGCCCAGTCAAGTGTGCAAAATGATTGCATATAAATAATCTTTGCATACCTTTTACAAGCAAAGAGAGATATACGTATATATAGAGAGAGAGCGAGATAGATACATTGCTGTCCAGATTCAACTGATAAAGCATTTATCTGCTTGATTTTGGCTGCGGTTTCAGTTTCGCTTTCAATGAAACCCGCATTGCTTCAAAATCCGAGGCAAACCAATTGCCGTGCGACGCATTTGTAATCCGGAATTACTTAAAGCTCGCACCGCATGCAAATCACACGGACAAACCAAGCATCAGCCCCATACATAAATACAAATCAGCGTTCGCATGTTGTTGCCAAATTATGCATGAAAGCGCTCGCAATGGCAATGGACATTTTGGACAACGTCTCTGAATAGCTCCAATATAAACGAAAGTGTGTGTGTGTATCTATGTGTGTGTGTGTTTTTTTTTTTTTTTTCAGAGCCACAATGACATCCAGCTCAAATGATTTAATAGACCCATAAGCCATTGCTAGACAATCAATAATGCCAAGTATTCAAAATGTCCAAATCAATGTTGACCTTGACTAACTTTGGACAGAAATTGTTGCTCTTAAATATTCTATAAACGTGTCGATTGCAACAATTTTTAATATAGCATTTCTAGAGGCTTATCTGCTGCATTTTATATTTCCTCAAGCGATAAATACAGATGTTAATAAAGATGTTTTTTCAGGGCATATTTTGAGAGATTATTTTGCCTAGTTATGATAAACTTTTAGTATAGTTCTCTTTTTCTATATATTGAAACCAGTTTTTTATACAAATTAATGAACGATAATTTTTTGGCTTTATATTTTATATGTTTATTTATTTATCTGAGCATGTCTACAGTTCAACATATTTTTCCTTTAATATTCAAAAACTTTTCCAGAGAAGAAAAATAACAAAAATTGATCAAATAGCTAATAGATCATTATTGGTCTGTACTATAAACAATAAAATAAATAGCTAAAAAATTCTAGAAACTTTTACAACTCTTTAACAATTCAACATTTCCTTCACTGTCGCCAGCTCAGCATATTTTCCAAAAGACTTTTTCGGATAAAAAAAAATTAATGAATATTTCAAATTAAAAAAAAAAAATTAACAATATCTTTTTCTGATAAACCTTACTTAATTTTTAAGCTGCACTGTAAACATTTAAAAAAAATTTTAACCTACACTAGATTTGATTTGAACTCTTTACCTATTCAGCACTTTTGCCATAGTCAACATATTTTTCAGTTAAAGTTCAAGAAGTTCAGCTATAATTTTCTAA